ATTATATTAGGCTGCATTCGTAACAGTAATCATTGAAACCTCATGTATCTGAGACTTTGTCAATTGCTTCATTCTTTTCTTCTCCATCAAAAATATTTTAAATAGCCCAGATTTACATTATTTATTTCCTGATTCCAGCAGTTGGCTTTAACTTAGTCCCTTCAAATCTATGACCACTATAATATGTAGATCATATAACTCCTCATGCATTTCTGGGATGGTATTTGAAAAGTGTATTGTTGTCAATTTTATGTTATTTCAATCAAATGTTCTTGGAAGTATTTGTTCAAAAAATATTGCACTTTAAAATCCAGGCTTTGTGATGCTGGACAAGTTAATTCCATATATATATAGGTCTAGATTCTAGAAGTTTAAAGTTGTTTGCTGTGATTTTTGTTGTGGGTGCCAAAAATGAGGGTGTCCTTGTTTGCCCTGATTTGTCTTCCTTTCCAATTTGTGTCCTCCTTTGCCTGTTTAGATATCAGACCAATAGAGAGATTAGCTATATTTACACATAATTCAAAAAAGAAAATAAAAAGCTAGGAAGGAAACAAAAAGACCAGAATACATTCTGTCCAGCAACCAACATCCAGACAAACAATTAAGCAAAAAACAATACTTTAATCAAGCAACTACCAAGGAGAATACCACACCCCAACCAAAACTGGCAGGACAACCTATTGTATATGAACAGAGAGCAAACATCACACTCACTAGCAATGATGATGTTACCTAGGTGGGTAATGAAATGTCTGGAAGCAAACAACCAAGCTCAGAGAACATCAAAGACTCCACAGTTCAACCCTGAGCTACATTTTTCTCTTTTATTAGATATCTGATAGGGAACTTTATAGAGCTATCATTTTCTGCTGTTTTTATAACTTTGGTCAGAGACAGAGGGCTTTTCTGTCCACTCTGTTAGTAAAGGGGGTCCTTGATTCTCGTTGTTATCCCCAGCTTCCCTTCACATTCATCCTCTGATTTGTTACCTGTCAAGAAGGGAATTTTAGAACATGAATTTAGCACTTTTTCAGAAGAACACCATCCCCAAATTCAGAAATTGACTGGTGACTAATTTAAGATTCTAAGCAGCCTCTGTGTTCACCCAATTCCACCCCATCCCAAGTGAGGGGGAGAAATGGTATTTTCCTGCTGACAGGTGGGAGGAAAAATGAATCTGGTAGAAACCACTCATTATTTAACTGGGCCTATAATAGGCACATAAGAACAGTTGCTTTTGCCAGACTCGCTAATGCTACATAATAGGGAGCTTGTTTTACACCAACATACTTTTTTTGAATAGCCTTTTACATTTGCTACCTGAAACAGCCATAAGGTAAAAAGGAAGGATCTAAGATATCTTGAATAATGGGGGCCTCCAACACAGTGACTGGAATTAAAGGAAATCATGAAAATGTTTTGAATTAATGAGTCGTGATGAAATATTTTATAGAGATTTATCTGGAAATGATAGTGATACATCAATGAGCAGAACTGAAACAAGTGTTGTAAGATTTAGTATCTAAGAAAAAAAATGATGGCAGTCATAAATACAGTGGGAATATCCAAAAAATGTGAAGCTACAAGTGAAGATTACATAACTTAGTATTTTTCAAACCTGGTAGTTTTAAGTTGTGTGGACTTCAACTCTGGCTGGGGAATGTTGGAGTTGAAGTCCACATGTCTTAATGTTGCCAAGTTTGAAAAACTGGAAGAAAGTATGTGAATATAATCTGCCTATAAAGTTTCTGTGTAAACTTGTTTAATGTCTATAAGGCCTCATCTATGGTTGAAGATGGCAAGAATATTATTATTTTTCTCCAATGAAAAGGGAATGGCAGCAAGAGCAAATGCAAAATTTAAAGGGTAATTAATTTGTTCTGTGTGACTTGGAAAGTATTTGGCAAAACTGTGACTAAAAGAGTATGAGAGGTGACACTGAACAAATTTTGGGGTGCACAATCCAACTTTATGCCAAGCAGACAGTGTACACAGTATGCTAGGTTTCTGCGTTTCAGTTTATTGAAAAAATGTGAGAAAGGAAGTTTATTGTACATTTGTTGATTTTGAAAAGTATGTGATAAAGTAAGAGAGTTTGGGTTATGATTTTTGTACAAATACAGAGTAAAGGTTTGGTTGCTGAATGTGGTATACGACAAAAATAAAGCATGTATGAGAATAAAGTGGATGCTTAGCAAATGGTTCAACATTGAACGAGGATAGGTGATGTCATTAGTTTGTGGGAGTTGATCCAAGTCATGGCACAAAACATCCCTTGTGATTTTTTAAAAAATATCTCTTTTATTAAGACCTCCAGCGGAATTTACTTCTAGCTTCTACAGCCTTTCCAGACCAGAGTTATTTACAGTTAAATACCCACGTTCCATTCTCTGCTTGACTGATCACCATCATAACTTGAGGTTTAAAATGCATCTTCGTGAAGTAGACATTTGCCTCTTCTGAATATTATGAAGCCTTAAGTGTTCTATGCCTGCATATTCATGCATTCTATAATATAAGTATAAGTACACTGTATGGTTTCTCAAAATCCTAGCTAGACTTTCTACTTAGATGTAAGTAAGAGGCTAAAAATATTGGCTGGCATTCCCTCTGGAGAAAAAAGAAGTCTTTTTGTATGTCTGGTAGAACCTTCTAATTGTCATTACTTCAGCCTTCCCCAGATTCTTCTATCTGTGAAGGATGGGGGGAAAAAGTCTTGTAGTGTTCTTTCTCCTTCTTTTTGGAGTGTCTTCCCTGGATCTCATCCATCTCCACTTGGGAATTTTATCTAACCATCAATCTTTCAGTAGTGTAACACTGCCTAGACCAGGGGTCTTCAAATTGGCTCTTTTATGACTTGTGTACTCCAGCTACCAGAATTCCTCAGCCAGCGTAGCTGAGGAATTCTGGTAGTTGAAGTCCAGAAGTCATAAAATAGCCAAGTTTGAAGACCCCTGGCCTAGACCATCTCAAGAACACCAATTATCAATGTTCTTTACTAAAGCTAATAATAAAACTTTAGCAGTCAACCTTGTGAGATCCATCTGGGGTTGCCAGCTATCACAATTTTAAAAGTTCTCCTTCTCAGCTGCCTTTTTGTTTGTCAAATCTGTCACCTTTACCAGTTCTGCAACTATTCCTTCGTTTTCCTAGAGTAAAAATCTTCCTGTGAGAAAATATGTTACCATCCCTACTCTCAATTTCAACTATGAAAAACAGAAAGTCTATTTAGGTTCTTGCATGCATATGTGACAAACTTACAGAAAAGTATGAATCCTGCCCCCATTGTCACAGTCCCTTTGGTTGCTTAAAGTATTTATAGATAAAAATGTATAAGGAATCCATGTGATTATGCTAAGAATTATGTTGCTTGAGAATGTGAATGTATGTTATGTTGTTGGCTCAGAATCCCAATGATTTGCAGGAATATTAGATATATAGATCTGAAAATTAAAGTACCAAAAGACTAAGGACATTGTTTTTGATTGGGAAAATACATTGAATAATGATTAGTTATGCATAAAAGAAGCAGAAGAGTAAATTGTTGTGCATCCTCATAGAACAGTGAATATTTACTAAAGATTGAAAAATGGATGAAGAAGTTTTAATATTTGCAAATGCTGATTCAAAGTTAGTGGAAAGTACTGTAAGTGGTTTCTTGAGAGGAATATCTGTTAAAAGAAATGAAAATGGCTGTGTCCAGTGCTTTTTTTCTTAAAAAAAAAAAAAGGAAAAGCAACTATCTTTCAGGCTGTTAGGCTGCACAGATGAAGAGCAGAGACATACACTTTGAAGCCAGGAAGTTTTGAGCCATGTCCTAGAATCTCTGCCTGCTAGCTTCTGAGGATGAGTAATGAGTTGGGTATAGCATGACTGTGCTTTCCCCACTGTTTTATAGAAGTTAAAATTGGGTATGTCAAGCAAATTATAAGTAAGGTCAGGGCTTTTTTTCTCATAGAACGCCCAGAACGGAGTTCCGGCACCTTTTTGGGATGGAACCTTGTAGGGTAAGCGGGTTATATGACGTGTGTGAGTTCCGGCACCTTTTTTTTTTAAAGAAAAAAAGCACTGAGTAAGATAAATGCAGTGGTAATAGGTAAGAAGTATGTGTACTTGAACAAGACATTATAGGGTTAATTATGAATGGATCTGAATGAATACCTGAACGGCCCTACAAAAGAAGTACACACAGGTGGCTTGGTTATATAGACAGAATAAATAACAGTTGAATTGCAAAGCAAATAGATGAAGGGAGAGTGAATGGGTTGAGAAGAATGGAAAGTTATGGTTGGATGGAGTTGATGAGATCCTCAAAAAGAAAAAGATGAGACCCAAAAGGTACTATATGAAGTACTATGTTCCCATGGTAAAATGAAGAATAGTTAGCATGGATAGAAATGCATGGAAGGATGCACTGAGTGATATTGATGTATACTAGATTATATACATTTCTTTTTCTTTTTTCCTGTCTCATAGCTTATGTTTATTTCACTTAAATATTTCTTATTGCTTTTCTGTCCTTTGCATAATTCTGCCTATCCAGAAAATTCACAAATCCATATTTCTGTGTATGTATTGATCTTCTACTGTCTACTTCCTATTTTCCCTGGGATTTTGGTGGCTTCATTGCTCTTTTAGAATGAGCATTAAATTAGCCACACATCCCAAGGGACTAAGCTCCAAAGTGTTTTTCCTGAAAAATTATGACATGTAGATAAAACGTGGCATTTGCAAATCATATACATAGCTGTGAACTCAGTGGAGGAAAGGTGAGATGAAATATACAGTAAGTAATATACCTAAAACTCAGAAATCAGATATTCCAAAACAGAAAAAGTATTTATGAATGTAGAAGGAGGCATGTTGGGTAGCATTCAGATCTTGCTTGATTGGAAAAAGAAATAAATGGACGTGATTGTCTTATTTCTCCCTTATGTTTCTTGATAGATTCCTCTCCAGAGGACTGAGAGTCAAGAAGTTTGTTTTCCTTTTCTTTTTAGCTGTGTAGTGGATGAGATGGACTTCTCTGGGATGGAGCTTGATGAAGCTTTGCGGAAATTTCAAGCCCATATCCGGGTGCAGGGAGAAGCCCAGAAAGTGGAACGACTAATTGAAGCCTTCAGGTAAATGTTGTGCTACTTTGAGGCTACTTTGCCAATTTCTTCCTTTGATGTAGGGTACGAAGAAGAAGAAGAAGAAGAAGAGATTAAATAGTGAAGCAAATAAGAAAGCACCTAAAAATAAGTTAACTAGGATGTGTTGTCTTCTAAATGTTCTTTCATTACAACTTGCATCACTCTTATTATTGGATGTGCTGTCAAGGACTAATAGAAGTTCTAATAACATCTTAAGGATCACATTTGCACATTTTATTTTTAAAGGTATCCCACCTCTTTTGGGATGATTAAAAGTTATTACACAGCAAAGCAAGCTGAAACACGTAGAACAGGGGTTCCCAACCCCCGGTCCACAGCATGCTAGCAACCAGTCCACGCAAACAAGCGAAACCCCATCCACAGGATGCAGGCAGCACGTGAAAACCTAACGCCCTCCAGTCCGCAGAAAAATCTTTCCCCACGGAACCGGTCCCTGATGCCCAAAAGGTTGGGGGCTGCTGACGTAGAATATACTTCTTTTTTTTAAGAAAAAGAGAAACAGTTTAAAAATAATTAAAACGAATAAAAGTTTTCCAAAGGATGACCAGCAATGAGATGGATAGACTCATGCATAGTGGCAATGAGTGCAGCACTTGAAGACTTAAAGGGCCAGGTTGGAGACAGATCATTTTAGAGAATGTCTGTTTATATAATTGATAAGATGTGACCCAAATCTGATACATAATTCATTCAATCAATGCATTTCTCTTATAATTTGTCCAGTTTTGTATTGTAATCTTCCTTAATTATACACAGGTTTTTATTTATTCATTCACTCTAAGAACAGCATTGAATAAAATCACATTATACTCGGTTTGAGAATTGCAAATTTAATACATTTCATTTTTAAAAAAATCCCCAATCCTTTTTGTGAAAAAATACACGTTCTCTCAAGTTTTATGGTGCATCTATTCTTTATGATGTCCTTTCCACAATATCCGTGTCACAATTAGAAACATAATCCTTTTATCCTGGAAGATTATTTCTTACATGGATTCTGACAATTAATTTATACAACTGTTATATTATCCCAGTGAAATGTGAGTGTAAATAATTTTAACACCTGTAAAACTGGGGTGGAGTCTTTTAGTAATGGATACATTGCAATTTTCCCTTATTATATGTTGACTTTGTCTCCCTCCCTTTGCAGCCAGAGGTACTGCATGTGCAATCCAGATGTAGTCCAACAGTTCCATAATCCAGATACCATTTTCATATTGGCTTTTGCCATCATCCTTCTTAATACGGATATGTACAGTCCTAACATTAAACCTGACAGGAAGATGATGCTGGAGGACTTCATTCGGAACCTGAGAGGTGAGAGCATTGCTTGTCTAAAGCATATTGTTCCTTATTCCAAATCCTGAACAAGGCAAAATTCAAATAAACAATGTTGTAGATGACATTAAAAGAACTAAAATATATGCTGGTTTTGACATTTCAGCTAATAGGTTAAATAATGAAAGTGGAATAAAACTTTCAACATCATCAGATAAAGCATGTTTGCAGATGTTAGTGGTACATCTAAACCAAATACAAGCAATTGTCTGGTGTACTGGATGTTGTGTTTAGCTTTTTGGGATTAGCTGAAGGCCGCAGAAAACAGGATAATAAAGTGAAGGGAATGAGACCATCAGCCTTTTGCCTTGGGGTTGTTTTTTATTGCAGTTAAGCCTATTTTAGGATTCACACTGCAGTTTTCAATTATATTTTGATTACATAACAGCTGTACAAACAATTATATTTTGCAATTTCAAATTAAGATTATTGAACACACACGTGCGTGTGTCTGTATAATATGCCATTTACATCTTTGGCTGTGGTCTATCATGTAGATAGCTGACTGCTGTTTGTATTGTTAAGAGTATTTTATAAAAACATACTATACAGAAAAAGTATATACTTCTCTCCTATTTTCTTGAACTGGTTTCAGCATTTATGTTAACCTTTAGTTAAAGTAAAAGACTATACTTTATCATATGGATTATTCCATATTTGCTTTTTTTCAAATATTCTGATAAATATTCAGGATCTAATCTCTTTTATCTCCTTTAAAGATGTTGTATATCTGATTTCTGATTATATTCAAAATTTGCATTGTTACTACAACAATTTAACACATTTAACAAATGTAATTTTTTTGAAGAATATCTTTCTGTACCATTATAATACGTATTCTTGACTTGGATAAAAAGCCTGTGAGGTTTTTTTTTTTTTTAAGAAGTCTCACTCAGTTTGCATTGCAAACAAGTTAATTCAGTTCCTAAGTTCTGTCATAACTTTAATAAAAATGAATTTATCTAGAAACATTTTTATATTTCCAGCCAACTTATTGTTTCACTCTGTCTGGGCTAAAAATAGAGAATTAATTAATATACCACCGAGGAGCATTAAAAGAGCCCTATTTGACTTCCATGTCACTTACTACAGTTCATTAAATATTTAGCATATTTAATAAGTGACCACTTTTGTGTGTTTCCGACTTAATGTGGTAGGAAACCATAATTCCAGTCTTCAGCCCTTGTAATCTAAGAGCCACGACAAGGTCTGGGGCAACAGGCCGGCTTAAAATCTCAGATTGCTGATCTCTAAATTAAACCAAATCTAAATGTAAACCCAGGTGTACAATGAGGTAGAAATTATTGTTGTATATAATTATGGGCAGTTATGGCTGTAACTTGGACCTGAAATCTCCAGTGTGGAATTTGCTGCAGTTAATGTTCCCAGTTGCATGCTTACCAGGCTCTTTTACATTTTTCAACTATTATTTTTGCTCTTCAGGTGAAGCACTATCAGGCAAAGCTCAGAACACTTTTTAAAGCAGAGAACAAAATTGAAAAGGAAGCTGGGATGGTAAAAAGCAAAACATTGCCTTCAGCTTTGTTCCTAAGGATGATCTTTGGTCCTACATTTATTTCCATATGGATGTTAAGACTGAAACTGGATTGTATTGTAAAAAGCTAAATCCCTTGCTTGTAAATGTGTCCATTTGTCCATAGAAAAAACAATGTCATCCTGTAACCTCTTTAGAGCTAGAGAGAATAGCGAGGAGCCCTTTCAACATTTCTGATCAATTTGTGATTGGTCCCATCCACGTTGATAGTTATTTGATAAAGCAGGGGTTCTCACCTTGGCAACTTTAAGACTTGTGGACTTCAACTCCCAGAATTCCTCAGCCAGCTGGCTGAGGAATTCTGGGAGTTGAAGTCCACAAGTCTTAAAGTTGCCAAGGTTGAGAACCCCTGTGATAAAGGGTAACTCCTCCAAGGATGTCCATTATCTTTTGCATCATTTTTCAAAATTACAAAGGCATTAACTGGCCACAAATTGTAGGAAATCATTTGTACACATCCATAATCTTTGGAGAAAAAAAATGGCATGTAAACTGTTACTTTTGTATGTTAAGAATTCTTGAAGAATGATGAATGAATAAAAAAGAGTGTTTATATTGTTTTGACTTAACAGGAGTGGATGATGGAGCTGACATTCCCCGTGACTTGGTGGTGGGAATTTATGAAAGGATTCAGCAGAGAGAGCTCAAATCCAATGAGGACCATGTAACTTATGTCACCAAAGTAGAAAAATCAATTGTTGGAATGAAAACGGTGAGCCTTTGCACGTCATTAGTAGATATCTATTGTATCATGCTGATGAAAGCTGCAGTTACTTTTATTTTAAGAAGAAAAGATACTATCTTAATATTGTCTACTTTGGCAGCAATTCTGTATGTTCTTGGGGTTCTCACAGGGTATGGACAAAGAAGTCAAGATGGAAGTTGCAATTGCACAAAGTTGTGCCTCTTTTCTCTTTTCTCTGTGTCCCATCTTGACATGTTTTTAACCATAAATGAGGATTCTCCTGCCTCTAGCCATTATTCATTGAATCCTTCCTGATTGGAGATGCCAGCAAGGGCTGAACCTGGGAACATCCCCATGGAAGCCAATTACTCTATCTCCAAACTTGGCAACTTTAAGACTTGTGGACTTCAACTTCCAGAATTCCTATTCTAGCTGGGGAATTCTGGGAGTTGAAGTCTACAAGTTTTAAAGTTGTCAGGTTTGGAGACCCCGGTATTAGATCAGTGTTTTCAAATGTGATAACTTTTAAGATGTATGGACTTCAACTCCCAGAATTCCCCAACCAACATGGGAGTTGAAGTCCATACATCTTAAATAACACTGCATTAGACTTTCTTGTGCTGCTTCCCTCCTATTTTCTTTTCTTCTTCATTTATCTAATATTCCTACCTATGTCAATCTATTTTCTTTGATCCCACCTCTTTTTTAAAATAAATCATTTGCTCATGAAGTTGGATGACCTGATATGTCTGATTTTTTTCCAGCAAGAATAATTTTTATACCATTATTATTACTTGGGAATATATGCTTTGTGACCCTACATGGAAGATAGAGTTACAAAGCGAAAGAATGTTATGTTTTTGCTTTTCCATGTTCACCTTTACTGGAAGCAAGCCCAAGATACAACTCTGTTTCCATATTTTATCTTTATTTTTCCTTTGCAACTTTCTGTGTCCTTCTGAGGTTTGTTCCAACTAAAACGTGTTCAGATAGGGGGGTCCACTGGGAGACAATAAAAAAAGCCAAAATGATGGTCTCAAGCATGTACTCGTCCTTAAAATCATCCCCCGGGTGTGGTAAATTCCACACATGTGTCCTGTCATGGAATTTCCTAATATGAAGCTCAGATAATGCTTAACTCTACAAAAGTACCCCCACAAAGACACAACACTCTTTAAAAACAAGGTCCTAGAACATGGCCTATTTAAACAATCCTGTGAGAACAAAAACACCCAGTAATTGAGGAAGAATCTGTGTTTGTTGGAAAGAAATATCTGGGGGTTAAAATGACTGCAGCTTAAAGGAAGTTGATGGCAGAAGGCCTCAACAGGACACTCTTTTTACAAGAGAGGCAGCAAAATTTTCTTGCAGATCTCAAGACAACAACATGTTCTTTTGCTGTTCATCATTTGAATGAACAATTTCCAGATCCTCCCCAGAAATACACTTAGTAGCTTTAGGCCTTAGGCATGTATATTCCATAATTGTGGTTATATACGCAGCTTCCTATGCCATGTATTTTGATTTGGCAGGATAAAGTGAATTGATGAACAGAGAAAATCCTGAAATGGTTCACTTGTGCCTCTCATAGCTGCGAGAAAATAAATTGATATATTCCATGTTATAACAAGTTTGTGGTGAAGTATACACACGATATATGTGAACGCCTGCTGATTTCCACTAAACCTCTTCCTGTAACACTGCTGTATCCTTCCTAAACTGGTGTTGGGGAGCGAAGTATAGACCACCAGCCACTTTATGCCAGAGAAGGCTTTGCAGATTAATCAGGGAAGGAATAAGTGACACTCCCTTCCTTCTGCAGCCTGATCCACTGGAGAGGCATAAGTTAAAAACTAAGTCTGTTTCCCATAATGAGCATTACAGGTTTACTAAAAGATTTAAATCATTATTATATCCACCAAAGTCAGGGCCCTAGAACACAACTGAAAAGGAAACTGGAAAAGAAACAATCAGTTGCTTCCTGAAGAGATTGATCTTGTTCAGTTGCTCCCTCTGGCAGGCTCTCCCACAAACACCACCCACAAGGACAAATGCACACAGCCCAGATCTCAGTCCATAACATAAAACATATTCTATATTGCAGTTAGTTTCACTGATCCTAGTCCACAGTATTTGCAGTGGGAATCAAAAGAGGCAAGATAGTGGTTGTGAAATGGTGACTGAAGCCCTCCATTCTTTCTATGTTCTTGGGGTTCTATTTTCTTCATCCATTTCTGGCTGGATAGACCAGCTGGTTTTTCCTTGCAGAATCTGGAACAGAATCTCCCTGTCTTCACAACATCCAACTAGTTGAACATCCAGCAATTGAAAGAAGCTGTGCTTGACAGGATGGCATGGAGGGAACTTGCCTATAAAGTCACCAAGAGTCAGACATGACTAAATGGTTAAAACAACAGCATCTTCACTGCAGAAATACAAGCAGAACATCTCATGATGAAATTATGTGTTCTAGGGACCGATGAAGTTGCCCAAAGGTCTTGAAATTCCATGGGATCATAAATGTGTGTTGCAGTTGTGGTTATGGAGGGAACCTTCCCACTTGGTCTCTTTCTTGCAGGTGCTGTCTGTGCCTCATCGCCGTTTGGTCTGTTGTAGCCGCCTTTATGAAGTGACCGACGTGAACAAAGTGCAGAAACACGCTGCCCACCAGAGGGAAGTTTTTCTCTTCAATGACCTGCTGGTGGTGAGGGATCTTTGGCTTAAGAATCACTGCAGAGATTTAGAACCTTACTTTAGAAAAAGCTTACAGGACCTCTGTCCTAGAAATTGGATTTTAAATGCGCCTCTCTTTGTGAAATTCCCTCTGAGTCAAAAGCTAGCACAGCAGGAAGAACATTATGTTTCGATTCCTGTTCTCTCTGACAAAGTCCTATGGATTGGATCTGGGAGAGAGGGTTCAGAAAACCAGTCCCGTAACTTCCCACACATATTCAGACAAGTATGCTATTGTTTGCAGTAACCTAATATTTTATATGACATAATACTTAATACCTCAGTGCTTTCATGGTTGTACTGAGTCCAAACACCATTTGGCAGCCAGCGAAGTTGATGGAGATGTTGAATGATATTCCAAGTAGTTCCTCTCTTGCTGAATAGTTGCAACTACACTCTAAGTGAGCCAAGCATTTCTCAGAAGCAGCCCCGTGTAGGGTTTTTCTTCACTTGCATACCACCATATACACATGCCAGAACAGCCTTTTTTGTGGCATTTCCTTATAATTCCTTACTAGCACTGATGGTGTTACCTAGATTGGGTAATGAAATGTCTGCAAGAAAACAAGCAAGCTCAGAGAGTACAAAGGAACCCTTATAATATTGCCTTTTTCTCTTCCTCTCCAACTGGAGGTGGCTGAAAGTTCTCCTTAGCTATGTCAATGTTAAAGTCATATTTTCTCCTTTGGGCAGGCAACAAGGCATGATGGTTTTATCATGGGTGGAGTCTGACGTGCTTTAGTTATTATTTGATGGTCAGGTGGCTGTGGCGCGTTGGTCTAGAGGTGAAGATATTCACCTCCCAATCAGAAGGTTGAGAGTTCAATCCTAGGTAGCGGCAGACGTTTCTCCTAGGCACAAAGAAAAAATATCTGCTGCGAACTCCGCATAGGTGTCAGGAAGGGCATCCGGCCAGAAAAGCTCAGCTCCATCCAATTGCCCAACTCTACTCTAAATTAAGGGATTATAGGATCATAAAAAAGGGAGTTATGGTCAGGTGACTGCGGGATGGGATCTTTTTGACACCTATCATCCTTTTTAAGCTGGTGTGAATGTGCCCTCAGAAACCAGATATCATTTCTGAGCCTTAATAAGTGTAAATACTCAAATAAAATAATCTTTAGACATGTTCTAACACACACACACACCTCTTGACTTGCATTATTTTGCAAGTCTCTTCTGCTTTGGGCAGTGAGAGAATCTGCTTCTTTCAAATGTCTCTGAGCCAATCTCTGAGCAGCCTGAACAGTAGCTAGCCAGTAGAAGTAGTGGGGAATCTGCACTCTCACTGAAGTGAGAGAATGGGAGCCAAATCCTTCTGTAGGACCTCCATGGTGCAATTTTTGCCACACCTGTCAACGATTGTACAGATTGTTTTTGGACCTAGGTAAATACGCTTCCTGAAGGGTGTTAAATTCACTTCTACAATGAACCTGGCTACCAGCTGATATCAGCCGATTGCTTTGGTTCAGGCAATAGGTCTATTCAACCTAACCATGAAAAATGTGCAAAAGTAGAGCAAACCATGATAAATGGTTAATTCCCCCTATTAGTGACCTGTCAAAACCCACTCCTCCACAGCCCCAACACCATCATATGTGAGTGGATGTTTTTCTTCTGATTTTACGGGGAGGGAAGACAACCAAATTGGAGGACTCCACAAAGTTCTTTTCTTAATAGCCCATTAAGCAGGCTAAATAAGGACAACAAGATTTGCAGGCCTTGTGCCAGAGTGAAGATTAGGACTGGCAGCTTTCTTCTGAATCACAGACTGGTGGAAAGCATTTAATTTAGTCCGTGCAGCAATAGTCTCAGTCGGATGTTAGTGTATCCCAGATGAGATGGAGCCCAACAAATGGCTCATTTGACTGTGTATTGTCACCAGTGGGGGTGGGGAGTATTGTTTTTTAATTTTTTTATTTTCTATGCTGTGTTTTTACTGCTTGTAAGCCGCCTAGAGTCACTGTGAGCAAGTAGGCAGCCATAAAAAAATATGAATACTGAGGAATGGATGAAGATAAATAGATCAAGAAATGGGAAATACCATTCTACATCAGCATAAAATTGACAAACTTGGCACTTTGATCTGTCCTTAATTATCTTTGATGCCATACTCGATGAAGAAACACATTTTTGTAGAGTGTAGACTAGACCAGAAATACTGAAACACTGAAACGCTGTTTATAACACTCCCGGCTTCAGGGAGCCTAATGATGTTTCTAATGAGTTGTTCACATATTATGGCCAATCTATAATTACTGCTGAGCTGGTTTGTTTGTTTTCCTAATGAAATTTGAGAATTGGGTATTCCCAGATATAGTTTATATCGGTTCCCATATTCTGATGGCTGGGAAGAATTCAGCTGCCACTGTATGTTGGAAGTTGCAAGTTTGTTGACCGAGAATAGTCACGTTTGCTCCCATTAGGGAGAAAGCATCTTGTCTGAGCAGATTAATTACCACCCAATTAAGAAGTCTTTTGAGAGTGGGATGATAAGTGCATACAGATTTAGAATCTGAATGGGTAGAAGCCCCCTCTGAAGCACTGCTCTGAGACAGGACATTGATACCTAAAGCGAAGGCCTTAAACATACGATGCCAGCTGTTGATAAAGCCAGAGAAATCCATGGAAACAAAGGGCTACCTTTTGCTCATGCGTCACTCATTGTATCCCCAAAAGTGTACTCTGTGGATCAAGCACTGAAAAGGCCATCTTGACTGCCAGGCTGGGTGGTGGCGGTGGCAAAAGGGGCTGTAAAGAATCCACCCAGTATTCCAATAGCACTATTCCAATATCTCAGGGGCTGCCATAAAGAAGAGGGAATCAAGCTATTTTCCAAAGCACCTGAAGGCAGGACAAGAAGCAGCGGGTGGAAACTAATCAAGGAGAGAAGCAACCTAGAACTAAGGAGAAACTTCCTGACAGTGAGAACAATTAATCAGTGGAACAGCCTGCCTCCAGAAGCGGTAAATGCTCCAACACTGGAAGTTTTTAAGAAAAGACTGGACAGCCATTTGTCCAAAATGGTGTAGGGTTTCCTGCCTGAGCAGGGGGTTGGAGTAGATGACCTCCAAGGTCCCTTCCAACTTTACTACTACTACTATTATTAGAACTTCCTTACTCACCCTGTTTCATTTTTAGAGGAATGCAGGGAAACTGCTAGGATAAAATATCCGAGCAATTGACAAGGGTGATTTGACAGGACTCCCTCAGGAGGAGATAATAGAGGTCCACTCTTCAGCATGGTTTTCACTCACTTCTCTACTCTCAGCCACAAGACTAAGCTAAATAGTTTCTTCCAGGCAAGATGAACATAAAGCCGTTGTGCAATTTGCATTTGTGTGAATGTTTGAAGTTTTTTTTTTAAAAAAAAGAACTGATATCTATGATGTAACCTAGATAGAAGGAAGGATAAGGGGATTAACTCTTTAACCTCCTTATAGCAATCATTCTCCACACTGATTGTGCTATTTTCCACCCTCCCAGACTCCACCTTACCTTGGAAGGAACTCTTCCAATTAACACTCTCCTTCCAATGCAAGGAGCTGATAAGGGATTAGTGGTAGTCTGATCTGGCTTGAAAGGCACAATTAGAAAAAAAGAGTTCCAGCCCCTTCTCATAACAGGACCCCTATCCAGATTAGTCCCCTGCAATTCCTTTGTCTTTATTTCTAAATTTTAAAAATGCATGCAGATTGCTTGCACTACAACAGGGTGTCCAACTTTGGCAATTTTAAGACTGTGGACTTCAGCTCCCAGAATCCCCCACGAGCATGGCTGCCTAGAGAATTCTGGGAATTGAAGTCCACAAGTCTTAAAGTTGCCAAGGTTTAGAAACCCTGCATTACAACAAAGCGGATGAAGGGTGACACATCTAAATAACTTAGACTGCAATGTAAGACCCTGGAGTTTCATTATTTTTTAGATAGATTTGGATGTGCAACCCAATATCCCTTCAGATTTTATCATCAAACTAAAGGCAGAATGAGAATTAATTGACTGCATTAATTTACTTATTGTAGACCCAGCATGTGATAATACTTGGCTGACCTGACTGATCTTCAAAATCTATGTTGGGTCAAACCAGATTATTGCTTGGACTGGATCCCATTAAACATGTTTTTTGCCCTATTCTTTTGTTTTACCATGCCTCATCTTTTTGGGGTATGGCCCCTCACACCATTCACAATCCCATTAGGATCTCATTCTGACTACCATACTGTAGTTGAATGGTGTTATTTAGACCAGGGTTTTTCAACCTTTTCACCCATTGTACCACTTTTAGGATATGGCAACATCCGAGTACCACCAGTCGTCTAGCAAGGTGTCAAAAATTTGGTGCCCCCCAAAAAAGGAAAAAAGTGATAAAATACAGGTAGTCCTCAACTTACAACAGTTTGCTTAGTGATGGTTTGAAGTTACAATGGCACTGAAAAAAGTGCCCCCCAAGGCACAGCCGAGCAAGACATCTGCCTGTCCACCCAGCGGCGCTCTTTCTCCTGTCCGAGGTTTTCATTGTTGTGAGCATTTCTGTTGAGGATTGGCAGCGGGGGTGGGGTGTGGGGGTGTTTGGTTTTTATTCTCCCATCTGCTGGGTGGTTGCAGCAGGTTTTGGTCACTTCACATGACCCTGGGACACTGTGACCGTCATAAATATGAATCAGTTGCCAAGCATCTGAATGTAAATCACAAGACTCTGGAGATGCTGCAACATTCCAGCTGATCGGCGCTTCTTCTGGGCTCAGCAGAAGCACCAGGATCACTGCCGAGCTCCAGTTGACGCCTGACACTGATCCTGGCACTTCCCCTGAGCCCTGACAGCCCCGAAGAAGCACTGATCCTGGCCCTTCTGCTGAGCCCTGACAGCCCTGCAGCTCCAGCCGTCTCTCGCTCAGGCTTGTGCGGTGCTATCACTCGTTCAGCTCATTCCTCTCCCCCACTACCACTTTTCTAGGATGATCGTGTACCACCTGCCAGGTGCCAATGTACCACAGGTGGTACCCATACCACTGGTTGAAAAGCCCTGATTTAGACCTTAAACTTTCCTGTTGTCCTTTGTTGATCTTTCTGAAAGACTCTCTCTCTCTCTGTCTCTCTATATGTCTCTCCCTCCCTCCCTCTCTCTTCATCTGTGTCCTTTAACAGATTCTCAAGCTTTGCCCCAAGAAGAAAAGCTCCTCAACCTACACATTTTGCAAGTCAGTCGGCCTCTTAGGAATGCAGTTCCATCTATTTGAGAATGAATGTAAGTTTATCACAGTCTACTTGGCTCTCTGCCTGATGACACTGGAGGGGATAAATGTGTCGTCTTTTATGGGTTAGAAATAGGCTCATTCAAGAGGGAGAGCAAATGTGATGTTCTGGTTATGGTGAATTTTAGCATTTAGAATCTGAACTGGGGAGACCCTAATTCAAACTCAGCCACAGTGACTTTGGGCCACTCCTTCTCTTCAGCCCAACCGAATACGTACGATGGTTGATGGATAAACAACCATAGAAGGGAATGCAATGTATGCTACCTTAAGTTCCTGGGGGAAAATAAGATACAAATGAATGAATCAAAACTGCTAATTGTAAAATGAGAAAAATCAATAAAATATTATTTTTTTAAAAAAAAACTGCTTGAAGAAAGGTTGGCTTGTCTATCACACAGTCTTGACTGGTTAAGCTTAAACCATGATTCCAATATAGGTAGTCCTCAACCGACAACCACAATTGAGCCCAAAATTTGTGTTGCTAAGTGAGACAGATGTTAAGTCAATTTTGCCCCACTTTACGTCCTTTCTTGCCACTCTTGTTAAGTGAATCCCTGCAGTTGTTAAAGTAGTAACACGGCTTTGTTTAAGGGAATCTGGCTTCCCCATTGACTTTGCTTGTCAAAAGGTCACAAAAGGTGATCACATGACCTTGGGACATGGCAACGGTCATAAATACGAGTCAGTTGCCAAGCATCTGAATTTTGCTCAGGTGACCATGGGGATGCTGCAACGGTTGTATGTGTGAAAAATGGTCATAAGTCACTTTTTTCAGTGCCATTGTAACTTTGAACAGTCGCTAAACGAACTGTTGTAAGTCGAGGACTGTTGTGTGAAAAATGGTCATAAGTCACTTTTTTCAGTGCCGTTGTAACTTTGAACAGTCGCTAAACGAACTGTTGGTAAGTCCATACCAAATAAATTTATGCAATTTGACAAACAAGCAACCCCACCCAAGGTGCCAAAGTTTGGCAAAATTATCTAATAACCTAGATAAAAATCTTCAGTAAACTGGACACATACAGTGGCTGTGGAATTCTGAAATACTGGATTGGATGAAAAGGTAAACCAGAAGCATGCTTGGCAATATTTGGTTGTAAACCTCAGTGATAGGCTTAAATGAACAACAAACAGAAATGAACAAACATAGAACAATCATAGAATCCTAGAGGGGAAAGGGAACTTAGAGATCATCTAGTCCAGTGATGGCGAACCTTTTAGAGACCAAGTGCCCAAACTGAAACCAAAACCCACTTATTTATCTCTAGGGGCTGGGTAGGCGTGGCCCACTGGCTGGGCATGCCTGCGGTGGTCACGGCAGACTGGGGGGGGGCGTGGCCAGGGTGAGTGTGGCCACCTTGATATCGCTTATGGTGGGGGCTGGGCAGGGTTGGGGGAGTTCCAGGGGGGTCTCTGGTGGGTGGGGCGGCTGGGTGAACCAGTTGTTAAATTATTTGAAACCCACCACTGGTCACTTCCAAAGGCCATGTGCTCGCTCGTTTGCTGCCCACCGTTGCTTCCAAAGGCTGCTCACTCACTCTTCTGCCAAAACCTGCTCCTTTTATAGGTTCCCTTCTCCCTGCCCAGCTCTTGCAACTGTTCCCAGATTCTGCGTGTGTGGAGAGCGGGAGGGGAGCAGCCAGGCTCACGTCCCTCTGTCTGGGGCAACGGCATTGGTGCCCACAGCGAGGGCTCTGAGTGCCACCTCTGGCACGTATGCCGTAGGTTTGCCACCACTGATCTAGTCCAACCGCCTGCCCAGGGCAGAAATCTGCTGACCACCCTAGACAAATAGCTGCCCCACCTTTGCTTGAAAACCTCCAGGAAAGCTATACTCTGAAAAGTGAGCTGTTCCCATTCTGTACTTAATAGCACTCACAATCAGATTTCAGCTTCTTTCATGTTTGGGAAAAAAATCTAAATCCATGGATCATTTGCCACTGTCTCCTTTCTGAATATTTTTGACTTCCCAATTTAGCCCAGGAATCCCCCATCCAGGTAACTTGGCCTTCTTTCCTTGATCTTTCCCAAATTTATCTTCGTCCTACAATTTATGTGCATTTCCTTAGTTTCTTTTTTCTTTTTTAAATATTCCACGGGTTGACTTCTGACTTGTTTTGTACTTCAGTTTTATATGGAGCTTTCTAATTGATTTCAGGATTGTTGCATAAGTGGCTTTGCCTTTATTTATTTGTTTTTCTCTGCATAAATTAATATATGCAAGCAACTGTGAACTGCAAACTAAAAATGCACAAAGAATGGAAGTCTGTGACTGATGCATATTAAAAAATGATTATGTCAATATCAAACAGGGAGGCATTAAAATGCAAAGCAGTGGATCACTGTGATACCCATGAGGATGTGCACAAATTCTGCATGAACTGAAAGCCAGCTTCCTCAATGTTTTCAAACAATGCAGAGGTGCAGAAGTGAAAATGATTATATACTGCATGTGTGATGGAATGTTAACCTGGAGAATCAGTGGAGAGAAATTTTGCAACATGGAGCTTTCCCAGGGAGGCAGCAGAAAATCTCATCGGAGGGAGGCCAGATTAAGAGACTGCACAGTCCCAAACTAGATGGAGGAGTAGTGAAGATGTTCAAGATAGCCACACCCTGGAATCCCTCAGGATATAGCAAAAGTAATAGCACTTAGACCAGAGATCGGCAACCTTAAACACTCAAAGAGCCACTTGGACCCATTTCCCAGAGAAAAGAAAACACTGGGAGCCACAAAACTTGTGTGCGCATGTGCGCAGGAGGGGAAGCTTGATTGAAGAGTTTAGTTAAAAAGAAATAGAGGCTGCTGTGCATGAGTTCTCTTTCTCTCTCCCCCCCCCCTCTCTCCCTCTCTCCGATCTTCTGCTTACTTGGCAAGCTGGCTTCATGCTGTTCTCCAATAAGCTGACACACATTCTTATTGGGCTGGCTGTCTCCTGCCCTTGGTCTGCCAGTCCTCTTCCCCCACTCAGAGAGAGAGAGAGAGAGAGAGAGAGAGAGAGAGAGGGAGGGAGGGAGGGAGGGAGGGCGAGCTTCCTGCTTCCTGCTAAGACACAGCAAAGGCAGGAGTCCCGCCCAATAAGCTTGTCAGCTTGTCCAAGAACAACATGTGGCCACTCTCTTTTTTACAGAGAGAGAGAGAGAGAGGGAGGGAGGGAGGGAGAGAGTGAGAGAGAAGGGAAGCACAAGTGCCTATCTCCATCTCTGTCTCTGTCTCTGCAAATGGTGGTGGAGGCTGGGAGCCGCAGGAGAAGGCTCAAAGAGTCACATGTGGCTCTGGAGCCACGGGTTGCGACCTAGATGTATATACTGCTTTATAGTGCTTTACAGCCCTCTCTAAGCAGTTTACAAAGTCAGCATTTTGCCCCCAACAATTGGGTCCTCGTTTTACTGACCTCCTTCACACGTACACACACACACCCCTCACACACTTGCATAACCCCACACCACACAGCTTCCTTTTCTAATGAAAAAGACATCCAGGATCCAAACATAGAACTCTGTGTCAGGACTTATTTGATTCTTGCAGCGAACAGCAGAAAGCAGTGAAAGAATAGAGTCACAAGAATTAGTTTACTGCACAGCGGCATCCCCCAGATCTTGAAACAGAGTACCAATCGTGGCAAATAATTATTGAACTTGATGACCCAAACTAAGTAATTTAAAATCATACAATGTACAAGACTTCCAGAACAAAAGCTATTTCTCAGAAGTTGTTTGGCATAAATGAAGCCAAATCTGTCTCTGCGTATTAGGCTAAATACAGAAAGAAGATCCGCAAGGCAACATTTCCTTTCTCTTCTGTAAATCTCATTGTGTATTTACAGCAAAGTGTCTTGTTATAGACACAGATCCTATACCTTCCCCAGAATCCCAATCCGGTTCTTTGTTCTCTGCTATTTATAGCAGATCCTTAAATCCTTGATTTTTTTTTTAAAAAAATGGGAATCTAATGTACCCATGAAATGTGCTTATGATCATACTAACTGGAGGATGCAAAAGACAACTGCTTTAATCTAGGACAAATGAATTATCTAGCATTGTTTTCTCTGGCAATGGCTTTTTCAGGTCACAGCAGAGATATCGCCCAGTATCTGCCATATTATCTAGAAATGACAGGGATATTTTGCATTGAGACAACAGAAATAACAGACTGGATTAAAAAAAACCAATAACTATTGGCTGCATTCACATAACATGTTAAAATGGCTTAGCTTTTGGTGATTATGTCACCCTTCAAGATGGACCAGACTAGGAAACTAAAGTTGTAAAAGCTAATACAGGTAGTTCTTAACTTACAACCATTCCTTTTGCAACTTTTCAGAGTTACAACGGCACTGAAAAAAGTATCCTCACACTTACGATGGTTGCAGCTTCCCCATGGTCACATGATCAAAATTTTGGCACTTGACAACTGGCATGTATCTATGATGGTTGCAACATCTCAGGGTCATGTGATCATCATCTACAACCTTCCCAGCTGGCTTCCGACAAGCAAAGTCACTGGGGAAGCCAGATTCACTTAATGACCATGTGATTCACTTAACAGCAGCAGTGATTCACTTAACAACCATGGCCAAAAGGTTGTAAAATCAGGCATGACTCCCTTAACAACAGAAATCCTGGTCCAAAGTGTAATAAATCAACAACTACATGTACTACTTTTATTATAAGATTACCATAACGGATCTTACGAGTCTGAATACGCTTCCCCCCTCTCCTTCCCTTTACCTCTGCCTGAGATGCATCCCCAAATTACATTTCTGCTCTAGATTCAGATTTCATTTATCGGACTGTTGCCTTGGCTGTGGCGTTTCTTCCTGTTGCTCAAGATTGTTCCTACTGCTCATTGCATATGATGGTGATGATGAAGAAGGATTTATTATGGCTACCCATTCCAATAAACTTTCTAATCCCTTTTAGACGTTTGCTTTTTTAGTATATAAGGCTGATAGTAGTATTTTCATAGTTTTTTTCCCCCCTCTCCTTTTTCACAGACTATCCCCATGGTATCACTTTGGTGATTCCAGTTTCAGGCTCAGAGAAGAAACAGGTGCTTCATTTCTGTGCCCTAAATGCTGAAGAAATGCAAAAATTTGTGGAAGATCTCAAAGAATCAATAGCAGAGGTGATGGAGCTAGAACAGATTCGAATTGAATGTAAGACTCCCAGCGTGTTCCAGACTCCATGCAGTCATTCTGTCTGTATGTACATATGTCTGTGTCTTGTCTATTTTTATGCTTATCATTGATAGAGACATCATTTTAGATTTTAAAAAATGGGCTGGGGGAGCATTTCCAGGAAAGCAGAAAGGTCATTGTTTTAAATTATATTCATTCAACTGGATACATACACAGTTTAAGAGTATTCATTATAATTTTAAACCTCTCTTCTCTCCTCTCTCCTCTCTCTTCTCTCTTATCTCTTCTCTCTTATCTCTTCTCTCTCTTCTCTTTCCTCTCTCTCCTCTCTTCTCCTCTCGTCTCTCGTCTCTTATCTCTCTTCTCTTGTCTCTCTTCTCTTTCTCTCTTCTCCCTTCTCTCTTCTCTCTTGTCTCTTTTTCTCTTCTCCTCTCTCCTCTCTCTTCTTTCTTCTCTTTTCTCTCTTCTCTTGTCTCTCGTCTTTTTCTCTCCTCTCTCTTCTCTCTCCCCTCTTCCCCTCTCCCCTCTCTTCTCTTTCTCCTTTCTCTCTTTTTGCTTCATGATAGATGTAAGAATATAGGAATATTATTATCTGGGGTAATCTCTTTCCCCACTATAAACAAAAAAGTTATTTTGGGTTACTTAGTTCACATCCTGTGTTCAAGTTGTGAAATATCATTTACGAATCACAGTGGTTGAATTCAAACATCATGTTAAACCCAAGTCAATCATTGCGCTTGCCAGATATACAATGTTCCTATGTTCCTATCAATAATTGCACATGGCATCGATAAATAAATTACTCCCTTGGTTTTAGAAATGGGTAAGATGGATAAGAAAGTAATGAGAACATTTGAAAATAAATGTATGCTGGATTAGTTCATATGAGTCCAGTATGCCGATACAATAACAGGACTTATGTGTATCAGAAAACTTGGCATCATTTTTGGAATGCTATATGGATTATGTGCTCCTAATGTGACTGCTAATTAACTGCTTGGCTGCACAATCCTGCAAGTTCCTCTTTTTTCATTACTACTGAATAATATTTCCCCTCATATACACAAAAATATTCCTTACCTATGTACTGTTGCATTCATTCAGTTGAGGAGCTCTCTAGATATGGCTACAGTTATTCACAGTGGGATTAAGCAAAATTTGCAGAATCAAAATTTATCATGGAAACAGATATTTGCAAATTCAGAGAGGTAGAGCTTCTGGGTTTGGCTCAAAGAGCATACACCAAATCCAGGGGAAAAAACATATGTGATTGCCCTGATTGTGGGTATTTTACCCAATCTACTCAATTTGTGATTTCTTAGCCTAAAATGTAGATAGCTTTCCTAGAATTCTTGATGTTTGTCAAAAACATAAATAGAAGAAGGCCAAACCTTCGTGTGTGTGTGTGCACATGTATATGCAAATCGGATAGTATATTTTCTATCTTTCCCAACTGGGCACTTTCTCACTGTGATAGATTATAGCTTCTTCATACCTAGCTGCTGTATCAGAAGATGCCTGCTAGCACCTTTTCCAACCAGCAAATTTTAATAAAATCATTTATGAGATGCAGCTCACTTCAACAGATGCCCAGAGTGGCTAGGCTGATGCAGAATTTAAATTGGGGGGAGGAGAAGAAGGGAGGGGAAGACAGATTGGTTATGCAGATGCATGTTATAAATACTCTGTCAATTAACAATTGTGCTAAAAACCCATTGTGTTTGTTGAGACCTTCTGAGATGACTTGAAATCTTTTGTTGGATGTAAGTCCAATAGTATCTCTCCCAATGGTGCTGTTAAAGTTTCTTTTTTCAAAAATGGCTAGTTTGAATTCTGTAATGAATTATCCTGGGAGGCTGAAATGCTCTGATATTGCTTTGTCCTTGTCTTGAGAGCTAATGTCAAACTTGTGTCCATTAATTCTTTTGCACAAAGTTTGTCTAAGATGTGCAGAATGCAGAGGAACATTGCTGGAAGATGATGGCATATATCACATTGGAGGAAAAACAAGTGAAGGGACCTTTAACCTTATAGGTGAAATGTTTTGGGGCCTGTGATAATCTGCTAAAATGAATATGGGGCCAAGCATCTGCTTCCCATGTTAATATCATTTTCTCCTTGTTTCTGAATACTGTTGAGAATCTGCTTCAGGTTGGATGGTTTGTATGCAAGTATGGAGCTGCTATACCAGAGTTCCCCAACCTTTCCAGCTTTGTGGAACAGCCAGGGAGGGTGGAGATGGGATGGTTCCGCATGAGCAGTGGGCAAGTGCATGCAGCTCCTTTGGCACAAGTGCCAGGCATACCCGCCCACTGCTCGCACAACTGGGGATGTGCGCGCACACATGTGTAGTTGTCCATCACTTCTGTGGCCCACTTTTGAAGGGCTCAAGCCATGGGAGTGGGCCATGGCCCTGCAGTTGGGGACCCCTGAGCTACACAGTTCATCACAAAACTGTCCAGCATTGGTTGTAATTTATTAATAATGTAATTTCCTAATAATGTCTTTGAGTGACTTGACTTAGACAACCACTGGAATCCTGTTCTGTTTTTGTGATCTATCATTTAACAGAACTGGGAATTGATCTGGCTCTGTTGATTTATCTTTTGATCTAGGTGAGTGGGTATTTCGGTCTCCCGAATGCCTGACTTAATTTCATTGAATGAGCATCTCAATCAAATGAATTAGAACAAATACAATTATAGCTCAGAGTCTAACTAAAGACGATAGATTTGATAGTGTGTTGTGGGTAGAAACTGGAAACATTTAAGCAGGCATTGGTCTCTGTAGGTTTCATGTATAATGTGATGTTTATATATCCATTCTGTATTGTTACTAGGACATCAAGGAAATGGACTTGTTCTTCAAATGCACTGCTGCTAAAGCTGATGGTGAGCTGGAAGTTGTTGAGGTTTTGATAAAATTTGATGAGCAATTTTTTTCCATAGGTCCATATAATGAAAATTTCATCAGTGAATCTCAAGTAAAGGAGGGGTTTCAGGAGGCAAGAACTGAGGAAGCATTATTCTAGGTCTGCATGGAGAATTTGGCATATGACATGAGTGGTCATGCTGTGATGGTCATGTGCAAGTATATGTTGTTGCCAAAATTTAAGGAGTCATGGGTGAGGACCAGGTCATACAGTTGGTAATAAGGATGGTACTTATAATCTGCCTCTCATCTGTCCTGCAGTTCCATAACCACCCTTCTTTCCTTCTTTTTTCTACCTTATCTCAACCCAATTTAAGTCCTACATTAGTTTAGCCACTTTGTGCATTAGATGAAGTGAGCTGCAGCTCATGAAAACTTATGACTTTTAATAAAATGGGTACGACAGAAAAGTGCTACCAGATTCCTCCTGATTATTTGCCATGACTCTCTTCCTACAAACATGATTGCTCTTTTTCTTTGTCATGTTCCTCTGTTTTTATTGCTCTGTTTTCTTTCATTTTCATCTTTCTTTTTCTTTCTCTCCATTATATATCTATACCTTCCTCCTCTTCCCCCATTCCCATGTCTTCTTAGGGGAGCTGGAAAAACAGCATGGGGCAAAGAATCTTTCCTTAAAAACCAATGGGGCTCAGATGGAAATGCAATACAAGCAAGGATCTCCAGCAGGTTAGAATTTTCCTGGGTTCTTCACTCCCTACCTAGAACAACAGTCAATCTTTGCTCACCTCATAACAACAATTAAGATAATAGGAAAAGGAAGGACAAAGCAACTTTGAGCGATAATATAACAGATCTTATCCTTAAAATGTCCCCAAGCTTAAGTAATTTCAAAATAACTGTGTTTTGCAAAGAACCAATTCCATACCAAGTCATGCCATGCCATTCCCCCACAATTGGGAATTTTCCAGATCAGAATTAAAAGCTTATCATCTCACCTTTTGATTACCTGTTAATCTGAAAAAAAAAACCCAAAGCTGCAGATCTCATGCTGATTTCTATGATAGATTGAATTAACAGCCAACAGAAGCTTATTCTTTGAGCTATCCAGATATGCGCAAGTCTACATCTGATTTCATAATGCTGATGTTCCCCAAACTAGGTCATCCCTGAGATGGAAAGAAGCAAAGTGGATAATATATTAAACTAGATGGACTGGTTTGTGGCAAAGGACCTTTCACCAATATGGAAGTGCTGCCATATAGACAGTAAATTATAAAACTAGGCAGGATATATGAAGGCATCTATTTTAGGCTAAAAGAATGAAGGTTCTTAAATAGATTCAGTAATCAATCAACAACTGTCTTTTTGAAAGGCAGATTAGGGAAATTATACTATCTTTGCCAAATTATAGTTGGAGGAGGAGACCTGAAAGTTAAATTAGTATATATCCAATTGATCTGTATTGTGGAGCCAGTACTCAAAATATTTTATTTTTTTCCTCCCAAAATTATATTTTCAGTTCCAGGAAGTAATTTTCTTTTTAATATTTGACTAGGAAAGGAAGGATAGAAGCATTACATATATGATTAGGCCTAAACAAACCAATATTGGTTAAAATGTTGGACTGAGAGTGGGAAAAAACCCAGGTTGAATTCCACCTCCCACCTTGGAAACTTACAAAATGTCTAGTTACTAACCAACTAGTTACTAAATCTTAGCTCAACATATCTCACAGGGATTCTGTGGTAGGGCACAAATGGAGCCTGTTCTCAGGTGCAGAGTTTGGGTATGAACTCCAAACAAATAAGCAAATGGTGCAAGATAGAAGAAGACATCTGTATCATGGTGTCTTCTTAGGTTGATGTGACACAGCAAATGACTGATGGTGAATTATTTTATTGTTGCATTTTTGCTGCCAGGAAAATGAACTTGTGGGGTTTTCTGCCTAGAGTGCCCAAAATAACTGACTTGACTTGACTGTGATGTAGATTGATTGAAGATGGGCAGGGAGAGAAGCTTAGCAAGCCAAAATTCTACACTGGCCCAGTGTAGAATACCAACAGTTGTCCTAGCTTAGGGCAGAAAGAGTAGGTTGCACCACTGAAGGAAAGTCCTCTTTTCTTTTCAAAGGCAAAAAAGATTTAGGAGAAAAAGGCCCGGAGAACACAGTGGAGGTAAGTAGAATGTGCAGCAGTGGAGGTAAGTAATTCTCCCTCAGTCAAGCCCTTCTTACATTCTCTGTTATTTCTTTTCTCAGGTTTTAATCAATGCCTCCCCTGCCAGACTGACAATTTTACCAATTTCCAGAGATACAATAAAAAGTTACTGCTAGGACGGGTAATACAACTTTCAAATCCAGATTAAACGTCAAAGCATTTTTTTCAAGCCGTTTCTCTAATTGTTAATACATCCTTCATGGAGCCAGCGGCCGAACTCTGGAAACTAACCTGCTCCTTCCTCATCCCCACCCAGCACCCTTTCAGGAGAAATCAGAGACAGAGCTGAGATGAACTCTTTGGCAGGTCCCTATCATTGCCTAGAATCTCCCCAATCCTCACTGCTCACCTGGTCTTTTCCTCATAGCTCTTCTGCCCAAGGCTGGGCAAGATTCACTGGGGAGGGGGGATTGGAAGATTAGACCAAATGTTCCCCAACCTGGAAGGGATTGCTGGCCAATATGGTATTGCTTTCCTTATATGAAGACAGATCTCCACAGCAAGACCCGTTCCCAGGACCCCAGTTCACCAGGAAAACCCTCCTCATTCAGCAGCATCTCCCTTTCTCTGGAGGTGCCACAACTACCTCTAAGGGAGGGAATACATTTCTCCACCAGTATTAATTATCTTCACCAGCCTCTAAACTGACACCAAGCTCCATCACCTTATAATTACTTGGTTTCATCCTTATTATCCAAGTTTGTGCCCTTCAGTTTTCTCTTCTGCAGCCTTTGAGAAATCAGCCACTCTGGGCCTACTTGTTGCTCAGGCCATGCTTCTCATAAAGTGCTTCATAAAAACTAACTCATTACTCTGGCAGCATGGCTGCTAATGCCCTACAGGAATGGGCGTCTCCATTTTGAGTCAAAACAGACACCTCTTCATGGAGAAATATTCATTTCAGAATCCCAAGAAAGCTATTCATAAAGCTTTGTCCTGGTTGGAATTCCAGAATTAGGCAGATAGGGCCCCTTATCTGCCACTGCTCCACCACAAAAGGAACCTCATTCTCCAACTCCTTGTTGACCCTTACTCTCCCGAGTCTACTGGGTAGCTGTGCTTCTTTGAAACTCTTTCTTTTAAACTTTTATTTATAGATTCCCTAAATTCCTTCCATAGGGAACGCCATCTTAGTTGCTGTTTACAGACTGAACTTGAAGAATTCTTTGGGGTCCTCACTGCAGATACTTCAAGCCTTCTTCCTCCCCTTCCCTCCTTAGCAGAAACAAGCATCTCCATTTTCTCTGAGATTTACCTGATCTGCTGCCATTTCATCAGATTTATTTTCTTTTCAATCATTGTATAAACTGGATGGGTACTTTTTTTTTTTCCTTTTGGGGGCAGATTTAAAAACCATTTCCTTTCGCTTGCCAACCATTGAGTGGATCAGAGCGAGCTGCAAGTTTGCTGAAAGATGTCAGATTTGTGCTTGGTTCCCCCCCCCCAGTTCCCTTTTTAATTTTCTCCTTTTGTAAATAGGGTAATGAGTCATGTGTGCCACTTTCCTGCTCAGAAAGACAAGAGCTAGGAAGAGCTCAGGTCTTTCCTTGAATGTCAGCAAATCTCATCTCCTCTCCCCTCCCACAAAGATGTACAACCTCAATTATCCTTTCTTCTTTCTGCCTTGTTAGCATATAGACTGTAAGATGATGATGATGTAAGAGTTTCTGAGCACTTCAGTCATAAAGCACAGCTTATCTGAAAACAGGCCTGCATTAAGCAGAATTTGGAAAAACTTTATTCCCCCTTGCCTTTTTTCCAAGCAAAAGACAAATAGGGGCCTAAAAAAAATATCTAAGGGAACATTTAAAACTCTGAGTAACAAGATGTTTTTGATAGCACGAGAGTTGTCATGCCTTCAGCATCTATTGTGTCAATGTTTTTCACTTGCTCTGGGTGCCACTTGTATTGACTCCATCTGGATGGTTGAGGTTGTGCTGTCTGTGGGTATAGCATTACTGCCTTTGCTATTATGAGGCTCAAGAAGGAAGCCCTGGGGAAGGTGCAGCTGTGGGAATGGGAGAATGAGGGGGTCAAAGGAGGGGTGGGGTGGGAGATTTTGGAGCAGTGCTTAAGCTGGGCTATGGCTTTTGGAGAAAGATTTGGAGGTGGGGTGGGTGAAGGGCAGCCTGCAGGAGCAGCTGGGAAAAAGTTTTGTAACATTTAATGCTTCTCTGACTGTTTCTAAACTAGGTGTCAATTCACAACAGGCTTCAAACGTACCAGCACAACTCTCTCCCGGGGCTCGAGAGTGGAGTGGAGCCCAGCACACATCCTAATGTGGCACGGGAAAGGCTGGAGGCAGCATTGGCACCCTCTTACCCTGCCTCAGCGGGGACCCTTGTACAGTGTCAGCAGATTGTCAAAGTTATAGTCTTGGACAAGCCGTGCCTCGCTCGAATGGAGCCGGCCCTCAACCAGACTTTGACACGCTACGTGTCCTCTGATTCCTGCAACTCTACTCCCTTGCACTGTCGAGGCAGCGGGCTCCAAGGGACCCCAGTGAAAATCATTCATCAGCCCCCACTTCCACCTCCACCACCTCCCTACAACCACCCGCACCAGACCTGTCCCCCCAGTTCCTTGCTTCACAGACGCAGATGCTCCAGTGGTTCACGCAGTCTAGTGTAGCAGCCCTACCAGCAATAGCCAAACAGCACAGACCTAGCCTGGGACCCTTTTCTGTCTTCAGAAAATATTTAGTTTGTAATTTATTTTTTAGTAAAATGAGAGTGCATGTGTGTGGTGGGGAGGAGAAGAAGAAGAAGAAGGGAGGAGGAGGAGGAGGAGGAGGAGGAGGAGGAGGAGGAGGAGGAGGAGAAGAAGAAGAAGAAGAAGAAGAAGAAGAAGAAGAAGAAGAAGAAGAAGAAGAAGAAGAAGAAGAAGAAGAAGAAGAAGAAGAAGAAGAAGAAGAAGAAGAAGAAGAAGAAGAAGAAGAAGAAGAAGAAGAAGAAGAAGAGTCTTTAGATCCTTAATACCTCTTCCAAACTGATTCTATTTTGAAGGGGCCCGATGTAGAAACTGAGAGCTTCAGAAAATTTTTCCTTTGTAGCCTCTTCCCCATTCTGCTTCAAACACATACCCTTTCTGTCTTCTCTGTACTCCACCCTGCACTCTCTTCTGAGAGCTTTATTGCCTTCCTCTTTCTTCTGCTTTCACTTGCCCTCCTGTCTCCCACTCCTTACCTTTTCCGATAGGACCTTTTTTCACCAATACTGAATTTCATATGTTTCTGACCAAAACAGACCTAACTATTGGGGAGAGGGGTGTTATTGGCTTTCATAGTCCATTTGGTTGAGGTTGAAGAACTGTAGCTGCTGTTATCAACACTGTTGAAACTTCACCGCAGCTTGCTGAGTTGGAGCTGAACATCTGTGCCCTTGAGCGTGCTTTCTTCTTCACCCTGTCTTCACAAGCTGAATGGAAGAGGAAGCAGAAGATGGAGGACACTCCTTCTTCTACCCCACCCTGCTGCTAAACACAAATCCAGACTCATTTTGGACAAGAAAAAAAAAGTCTTCGTTGTAACGAGAGAGCTCTGTAAATACACACCTTTATAGCTGAATGTGGGTGGATCCTGCATCGCAGGTTGGGAGAAATTGGAGGATAGCCACTTCCTGAAAGTACTGGACAATATGAAAGGCTCTTCAGATTTTTATTGAATTATTTTATACCCTGCTTTTCAGTCTGTTCCAGATTTAGAAAAGTGATTAAATTTTGAAAGAAGGGGATAATCTTCAGCCTTGGAAACACCCTGTTTTAGCCCCCCCGTCAAGATTTATGCTTTTTTCATGTAAGGCAGTGGGGGGAGGGGGAACCATGACCCCCTTTATGACTTGTGGACTTCAACTCCCAGAAATCCTGAGCCAGCCACGGTGACTCAGGAATTCTGGGAGTTGAAGTCTACAAGTCATAAAAGGGCCATTGTTCCCCACCCCAGATATATGGAAAGAAAATGCACCTCAAATTATAATATAGGCTAAAGATTGCATTTTTTAAAGTTGATGGACAGTAGTAAAATGTTGAAAACGTGATGGAGGTTCTCAAAAGAATGAGGGAAGAAACTTCAATCAATCAATCAATTTTACTTCTTATACCAGCATAGAACCAATAACATAACAATTATACTAAAATAAAAATAAAGTCATCTTGATAGAATAAAATAAGGTAAAGATAAAATTATTATGATAAAATTACAGAGCAGAGGTATTAAAACTCAAAAACTCCTATAAATTTACAATTTTACAATGAATGCTCTAAATACTATAAATAACTAGGACAGATAATTATAAAGGGCATATAAATGATACCATAAAACATTACAAAAATGTAAAGCTATGCTCATTTATATTAATACCTGCTGAAGCTCTGCTAGGATTAGTTGGAATTAACACTATTATGCTCCAACCAACAATAACAAAGAAATGGCAAAATAAAACATAAAATTATATGCTTATATTTAAATGGAGAAGCAGGGGAAAGGGGAATGGGGAAAAGAAGGAAAAACAGAAAAGGTATATATTGAGTAATGGAAGTCTAATTAAGGCTTAGCATCACCTCACTTGGAGGTGTTGTTTATGTTTAATCACAGCTGTGACACAAAACTGCTCTGCATTGTCTGAAATTCCTGCCACCTGGTCAGTTATTGAGAGGCTGAGGTAATCAGTCACTGGCCTGCCCAGGTATTGTGTTATACATGGGGAAATATACATCTCTCATAGATTTCTATTTTAAAAGACAGTACCGCAATACGTACGCCACAGTTTCAATTTCCCCCTCAAAACAAGAATAGAGCCACAGCTATTTTGATACGTTATAGAAATTTCCTTGAAGAGAATGGAGAGGAGGACATTACAGCGAGTAAAAACTCTTTGATGTTTTGGGGGACAATATTGTAGAGTAAAATTCAGGAGCAACACTTTTTTGTGGGTTCACTGAATTAATCTATGATGGAGCCTGACTCAGATTGTTTTACAGGGCGATGTACAGTATATGACACATTGCTTGAAAAATGCGTTGGCCTGATCAAATCCCACTGGAATCAATACATTATAGACAAATCCACAATGGATTAGGGTGGCACCAAGTAATTTTTGCCAAGAAGTCTGGAATTTGTCTTGTAAGTCAAAGAAGCCAGATAAATGGTTGAAACTTACTTTGAACCAGTAACTAACAAGCAACTAAACAAACAAGTTCAGTATCACTCCCATTTAATTGCTACCTATGACTGTGTCCAAAGGCCATAATTTTTGTTTTTACATAATTAAAAATGAAATCATGGTCTATGTGGTAGGAAGCAATTGGTTTTAGAGCTCCCCACCCACAAACTGAATCCCAGGAGAACAATGGTCAGTTAAAAAGTGCTAATTTACAGAATGTCCACTACCTCCCCTATTATCAGATATTGGCTATTATCCTTGCTTACCTTTCTCAAGTTTTTCAACCTAAGCCAGGCATGTCAAACTCGCAATGTCACGTGACATCGCACAACGTATCAGAGCTTTTTTGCCATTGCCGGCAAAGGGGTGGGTGCAGCTCCGGTATGATGAAACCGGCCCGTAGGCTGGCAGTTTGGCACTCCTGACCTAAGCATTTAGCCTCAGTTGCCTATCCTTTGGATTTTTAAAAGAGAGTAGGCCACCCAGTAGGCCACACCCACTCTATCCACGCCCATCCAGTAGGCCATACCCACCCTAGCCACACCCACCTGGCCCCCTGAGGGCAACCGCAATGAAATTGAGTTTGACACCCCTGCACTAGGGAGACCTGCTTTAGGCTTTCCTCTATATTCACAACATTCCCTTTTCCATCTTACATTTTGAGCTGTCAGATATGTATTTAGGGTAGTGTTTATCCACCTTGGCAGCTGAAGATGGGTAGATTTCAACTCCCAGAATTCTCCAACTAGCATGCTTCTGGGGGAATTCCGGAGCCCATCCATCTTCAAGTTGTCCAGGTTTAGGGAATTGTCCTGATTCAAAAATGCCTAGGAGGGAAAATGTTTGGTTCATATTCCAGAGGTTTCTGGTCTGCTTGCTTTGAATTTATCAACTTCACCTGCCTTAATATTTTCAACAGAAAGAAATGAAACCTTTGTGGAGATAGAGAAAAGAGGAATGTTAGCTAGCACCTCATCATTCAAACTATTTGCTTTGCTTTTGTGAACTCATAACAAATTGGATATGTTCAGATGAATGAAGAGGACATGGTCACAGTTAGCCAGCCATCTAAGTAGAACCCATAAGGCCAGGGTGATTATGGCAAGCTGGGTGAGTAGTGCCAGAAAGATATGAAAAATTTCTAAGCTCCTTGGTCTTATCAGAGATGCTGATTTGCATAATGATATTAAATTAGGCCATTACCATATTTTTAGAAAAAGTATGAGGGAGCAGCAGCATTAATTAAAAACTTTGTTCTTGGCCACTTCATCTCCCTGTGAGACCTAAGAAGATCAACTTTGGTGTTTGGAAGAAAAAATTAAATCTTTGATTTATTTGTATGCTTATAAAGAAATGGGTATGAGAAAAACAGCCGGTTTTCTTCTTTCCACAAGAGAGAAACAAAAGAGTTCACTGACATTGAACCAACACTGAATTATCTTGTGCTGGTCAGCCTAGGGCCTGGTGTGGTATGGAAGTATCAATTCTGTAGAGCATGGTCAAGCTCAATAACACTCAGATCCATGAAGTCAAAACTTTTATTGTGCAATTGTTCTGCTTCGTTCATAAATGGGTCCAAGAATCATTTTCAATTTTACGCCCTTTGTATTTTCCATGATTTCTTGTGGTAATGAAGAGAAATCACACAGTCTCTTCTAACGGATAGCACTATGACTTCTCCATCTGGAAGTCCCAAAGGTGCTTTTTCAGAAAGGCAACTGGACTGTCTTATTACTGAAGAAGCTTCTTGGATGAGAAGTGAAATATTTGCAAAGGGGAAAAAAAAACAAAGTCCAGTTGCCTTGACCAAGGATGTATGACCTGGATGACCTGGATGAATGAGAATCTCCATAGACATTTGTCCTTCGGAAAGTATAGTCTACCTCAGATGGTTGCTAATAGCACAGCTATTATAGTAATTCTGTCACTGTGGGTTGGCATTTGTTTCTCTAGGACCATGGTCAAATCTGGAAAACCTTAAGAGATAAAGCAAGTTGTGCAACACAAATATTTGACTTGAAGATTCAATATAAGTCAATTATACAATTTGAACTTCTTAATCCGGAAGGATTTAGATCCGATTTGGAGAATTTTGTGCATGTCCAAATAAACCCTTTCCAAATTGCTCCCAAAGTTCAAATATAATTAATTTGAGAATTTAAATCCAAATAG